GTTTATCGTTTGAATTAGAGTCGTTAGCACATGGTTTTACGGGTGTTGAGATGGGCTTGTTTGTTGTCTGTTGGTCTTCTTCTGAGGTGTCTGATAGTGATCTCTTTTTTAATTGAGCTTGAGGGTTTGCAATGGCAAGTATTGGGTTATTGTCTGCGCTGGAGTTAGCCGTAGTGGGGTTGGCTGGAATGTTGACATTGGGGTCTTTTCCTGTCTCGCTGATTTCGGTTGTGGTTGGATTTTCGTTTGTGTAGTCTATGTTATATTGTGAGTTATTGACGCTTGACGTTGGTTCCGTATCGTTTAGTGTTAGGTTATTTCTCGTTTCCTTGTTGGCTGATGGGTTTGATATTGGTGTCTCGGTTTGAGTATTGCATTGGTTTGCAATATGCCCTTCTTGTTTGCACAAAAAACAGGTAACTTTGTCAGTAGATACAAAAATTCTGTACTGTGTGTCGTCGTACGTGATTAGAAACGATTCGGGGAGTTTATGGACATCGTCTGGGTTTATACAGGGTGTTCGGCCACCTCTAGCAAAAATTTTAATGAGTGATAGTAGAGGCCAAAATAAGACGAAAATCAAGAATACTAATTTGTTGATGGAGGCTTCGTTGCAAAGTTATTAACATTTAAAGTTCCGCCTGTAGAATGACAATCCGCTAAACAGCTGGTTCGCGCGGACGGTTGCGGCAGGCGAGTGCTAGTGGTTCTCACGCAGCATGAAAAATTCTGCTTACCGACATTATCGACAGCCTTAGATTTTTGTCCACTTATGGGAATGCGAACACCTTACGTTGAATAAGATTCAACCTGTCTTATGAAAATCCAGAAGGGCATATCAAAACTCGTCCGACGAGATTTTCACAGAGAAAGGGTGAATGCCAGTTCCAATACACAATGTTGTGAACAAAAATCACCCACATGCGATTATACACGCCCCACGATTGTCCACAGTGTCCACAAGTATCCACAAATAATCCTTTCAGGCACTAACCACTATGCAATTAAATAAACACGTACCGCGATTATGTTATTCGTGAATGTCTACGTGTACGTGTATCACGATTCTTCCGAGTTACTTACGAATAAAACTGTTATTAATTTTTCAAATACACTTCAATTTAAAAATGTAAAAAGGAATCGCAGGATAAATGAAATTTTCGCATCGATTTACGTTCACGGCGAAGAATGTAACAATACTAGCAGCTGACTGTGCCATCGATCGACGAGGTTCAGAGAAACATATGCCGAACAGGCCCCGATTCTACGTCACTCGCCTCGCTTATCTCTCTCACACACAGCGGAGACAAAGGGCAGCATCGGCACGTGTTCGGCCAGCTAGTCAGTCGTAAAACAGTATCAGTCAAGCTAGTTCACGCGACACATTTCAGTTATGTATTAAGTAGCATGTAAGAAATACAGTGATATAAACAATCAGCGAATACTTATTAAATTCCTGTTTACATTTTTAAATTGAAGTGTATTTGAAAAATTAATAACAGTTTTATTCGTAAGTAACTCGGAAGAATCGTGATACACGTACACGTAGACATTCACGAATAACATAATCGCGGTACGTGTTTATTTAATTGCATAGTGGTTAGTGCCTGAAAGGATTATTTGTGGATACTTGTGGACACTGTGGACAATCGTGGGGCGTGTATAATCGCATGTGGGTGATTTTTGTTCACAACATTGTGTATTGGAACTGGCATTCACCCTTTCTCTGTGAAAATCTCGTCGGACGAGTTTTGATATGCCCTTCTGGATTTTCATAAGACAGGTTGAATCTTATTCAACGTAAGGTGTTCGCATTCCCATAAGTGGACAAAAATCTAAGGCTGTCGATAATGTCGGTAAGCAGAATTTTTCATGCTGCGTGAGAACCACTAGCACTCGCCTGCCGCAACCGTCCGCGCGAACCAGCTGTTTAGCGGATTGTCATTCTACAGGCGGAACTTTAAATGTTAATAACTTTGCAACGAAGCCTCCATCAACAAATTAGTATTCTTGATTTTCGTCTTATTTTGGCCTCTACTATCGCTCATTAAAATTTTTGCTAGAGGTGGCCGAACACCCTGTATAAATTTGTCTTCTGAAGCTCATTATGTGGGAAAGACCGGGGTCTTGTAGTCCCGCTCTGAGGAAGGATAGTTTCGAGGTCAGTTTGATGTTATGGATTGTTAGTGCTTTTTCGATGTAGTCATGTGGTATGGTAGGAGAAACGTTGGACAAAATAATTCGTCGTGATGGATTTATTAGGGGTCTGATTGGGGTGGATGTATTGTTGATGGGCAGTGATTTGAAATTGGAAACGAGGGCTTTTGTTGTTGTTTTACTATCGAGGTAAACACAGATTCTGTTGTTTGATATGCGGGAGATAAATCGTATGGCGTTGGGTCCAGTGATTTTTGCTACAGCTTGTGCATATTCTTTGATAGTAGTTCCGTCTATGACGTCGATTATTACTGCCTGTTCCTTGGTTGGAAAAACACTGCTTACCGTGGCTGATGCATACGATTTTGTAGGCTGAACTGTTGTATTGGTTTGGGTATGGCTCGTTATATTTTCAAATTCCATGACTTCCATGACGGGTCTTCTGTATTTAGAAGGCTCACCGATAGCACTAACGTTGTTGCGTGGTGATCCGCGCACCGTCACGGCACAGTAGGCTGAATTATAAACACAGGAACTCGCGAGCGATTGTCAACACGTCTGATCGGTTTGACTGCCCGAGAACGAATGAAATATACCTTATTTCAAGGTAACTTCTGTTAAAATATGTTTCTATAATCTTTTGATATTTGGTTTGACGTTTGTTTGGTAATAGTTACTTTTGTATTTATGTGGTTGGCTGCATTGGTTTATGCGCCCCTTTTTTGGAATCTGCCGAGCCGACCTTCGTGCTGGGTGTATGTGTATGTGCTTACGAGGATGGCACATGTGCGTTCAAATTGCTGCAGTCTTTAAGCTTTTTCTTTCTCATTGTTAACATATTTTTCTCTCATTTCCAATTAATAAATAAATATTATAAAAGTTAAGTTTATTTTCTTTAATTCTAACAACTTCAATTATACGTTAAATAATCTATTTACCATAAAGGTATATAATATATAGAACTTAAGTGCATAATAGTTATACAACTTTGGTTACATTTAATTTATACTTATTTCCTTTACCTGCCTACTTAATTCTGTCCGCAACTGTAGGTACCTAGCCAATAAGTCATCTTTCTATGGTACACGGCTGTGTGACCACAATGTTGTAAACAACAAAATTTATATAAAAAGTTGAACAATTATGTTTTCATCATAGTAATTTAAAATAAAATAGTTTTCGTACAAAGTATTATGAACTGTTTTCATTATCTGTGGATACTTTAGATTTGACTTCACTTATATAGAATACGAAAACACTTAGAAATTCGAAAGAATGACTAAAATGAATGCTATAGATTATAGGGTTCCCAACTGGACCTAAGCACTACCTACGTATTAGGTCAGGTACCCGCGCATCTTTATCCATACTTACCATAAAAATCCTCTCAAGGACTATTAACACTCTGCAAAAGCGCATGTTTGGAAGTGCTTTACAAAACACAGATTTGGAGTTTATCAATATTCATTAATAATTAAATGCAATTAGAATGAATGGAATTTACCAGAGAAGTTTACTAAGTTTGACACCCAAATGGTTTGATCGAGAAAACCAAAAGTGGGTGTTAGAAAAAGACAATGACTCGAAACATCAAAGTCGTCTATGTACGCAGTGGAAGGCAGCTAACGGTGTTCAGATAATTAACTGATCTTCCTAATCGCTTGATGAATCTATCAAATTCAGATAATATTGTGAACGTTACCCCGAGAATACACGGGGAAATTAGTGGATACCCACAAGATAACAGGCTATAATACATAACAACGAAGACTGAACAACATACTAAAAAAAATGCGTTAATGTGCGATGGTAAATAAAATAATTGCAAGTTATTTTAACTAATTATCTTCAAACTGTTTGAAAATTATGGTATACACGTTCTTGTTAAACAAATTGTATAATATACAGAAATGATACGAACAAATTGTTTATATGTAAATTGCAAGATAAAATAGGATCTCTATTTAGGCGTAAACGAAAATTTTGTTTATGTTGTTAATTTAAAGGATATGAAGGTGAAGTTTCGTTTTTTAAATGGAACTATATATTTTTTATGGGATCATGCGATAGTGCTTTTTAAGGCGAATTCATTAAGCTGCAATTTATTCATCCGATTTTTATTAGTTTTCAAAATATAACGCTTAAAAATTTACTGATTTTCAGCGGAGATGTCTCGGTTTGAGTGACAAGTCATAAAAACGGTCCTATTGTTACGCTATTTGACTCCGCCTGTTGCAACCGATAGCAAGGGTCTACGCTCGAAACGGCAGGTCCGAATAGTAAGAAACATGGAAAGTATTAACCATCCAAATTATTAACGGTTCCATCCTCGATTCGGAAAACTTGGACCGTGATGGACAATACTTTCCATGTTTCTTACTTTTCGAACCTGCCGTTTCGAGCTAGACCCTTGCTATCGGTTGCAACAGGCGGAGTCAAATAGCGTAACAATAGGACCGTTTTTATGACTTGTCACTCAAACCGAGACATCTCCGCTGAAAATCAGTAAATTTTTAAGCGTTATATTTTGAAAACTAATAAAAATCGGATGAATAAATTGCAGCTTAATGAATTCGCCTTAAAAAGCACTATCGCATGATCCCATAAAAAATATATAGTTCCATTTAAAAAACGAAACTTCACCTTCATATCCTTTAAATTAACAACATAAACAAAATTTTCGTTTACGCCTAAATAGAGATCCTATTTTATCCTGAAATTTACATATAAACAATTTTTTGGTATCAGTAATAGTTATTGAAATATTGCGACTGTCACACTTTAGCGTGGACACTCTGTACATTTTATAGTGTCTTACATAATTTGTAAAATAATTTACTTACGTCGATAAATTCTGGTTGTATCGTAGTAGAATGTATGCCCTCATTGTGAAAAAACTCTTTCACTTGTTCTGCAATCTTCATGTATTCTGACAAATTTCTACATCTTATATGCGCTGAAGCAATAATGCGATCACCTGCTAACTGCCATACATGAAATTCGTGTACAGCCAAGACACCGTCAACATTTTCTAATAAGCGTTGTTGAATAGCATCGACCTAAAATAAAAATTTTATTAGAAAATAATGATAAAACTAAGATATGATTACTTGTGACTTCACAGATTAATAATGTGTTAAGAGTAATGATTTGTATTTGATGGGAACATCTCTGTGATAACTCATCTGTGATATTGTTATATGTTTGATCTGCCATAGTATAGCCATCTGTATGCCCAAAGACTCACTATTTTTTAAATTTCTACTCATAAGAGGCAACTAGTATCCAAATCTCTTTTTTGAAATTAAATATCCAATATGTGTTGTGTTACAATCAGAATTGAGAGTTAACTAAATAATTACAATGTGATAGTAATTTGATTATCAAAATTAATCGCGATTAATATTGGTCGACTTCTGGAATCGATCGCTCGCATTAATTGACTATGAATTTAATCGTTGATAGATCATCATGATTGACGGTTACAGAAATGTAAATTGTTTGCAATGATTGACACACAAATTATACTTATTTCTGTTACAAATATAATATTTCTTTGTTTACAAATGTTTACTTTCACCTACATTTGTTACACAGATATTGTAACATCTTCAGAAATATTTGAGTCTTTTCAGTACATTGTTATTTTTGTTTTGGTTGTTGTTTCCTATTTTGCTCACTGTGTTGTGGCACAGTAGACCAAATTTCAAATTTAGTAGTGTAAATGAATTTAAAGAAAAGAAGAAAACAAAAACATGTATAAAATATACATATATTTCCTAGGTTACCAACCATAATTTGACAGCTGACAAACAAACTTAACTGGTTATGAAACAATATAATCGATAAATTATCCATATAAAAATGTTAATGAAAAATTTCACATTGTTATGCATGCATTTAGTACTAAATATTAAACTTTAGTTAGTTTTTTTGTTTTGAAGCATTTATCACTTTAAGTATAGATGGTTACCCTTAAAATTATTCGTTTATTTTATTATATTTATAATTATTTTATAGAAAAAGATTATGATATTATTATAAAATTACCTGAATGTGTGTTGGTACAGTTTGTAAAAGAATTAACGCAGATTCTTGCAGTAATGGCCACACTGACCGCAGAATGAGAATAACTAATAAAAGTGAAAGAGCTGGATCAATGTAAAATCTGTAAAAAAAAAAATAAATATTTCATACAGATGATAAATAAATTACCACCGATAATCCGAGATATAGAATGCAAATAAAATCATTATTCCAAAAAAATTGTGTCGTATGCATTTTTGACTCTTTGATAAGTAGTAAATGCGTATGCAAGAAATGGTATGTACGTAGTGAGGAGTTTGCCAATCAAATTGGGAATTAATCTGCAGCCTGAGTTTTATACATTTCGAGACAAAAAGATAAATATATTGTATATTTGTTTATATGTGGTATTATAAACCGAAGAAAATAAATATTTAAATTTAATGCCTTTGGATATACTTACGTATACAGAGTGTTCGGCTAACTCTCGGAAAAAATTTAATGAGAGATTCTAGAGGCCAAAATAAGACTAAAATGAAGAATATTAATTTGTTAATTGAGGTTTCGTTAAAAAGTTATTAACGTTTAAAGTTCCGCCTGTAGAACGGCAATCTGCGAACAGCTGCGTGCGCGCGATAGGTTCAGGCAGGTTGGTCCTACTGGTTCTCACTCACAATATTATAAGGCTGTCGATACATCAGTAAGTAGAGTTTCTCATGCTGAGTGAGAGCCATTAGAACCGACTTGTCGCGATCGATAGATTGGCTATAGGCGAAACTTTAAACGTTAATAACTTTTTAACGAAGTCTCGATTATCAAATTAGTATTCTTGATTTTCGTCTTACTTTGGCCTCTAGAATCACCCCTTGAATTTTTGACATATAAATGCCAAACACTCTGTATACAGGGTGTTCGACCACCCTTGAGAAAAATTGTAATGGGAGATTTTAGAGGCCAAAATAAGACGAAAATCAACAATATGAATTTGTTGATGGAGGCTTCGTTAAAAAGTTATTAACGTTTAAAGTTCTGTCCGTACTGAATTTTTTTCTCGAAAATGCGCAGGATTTCAGGGATATGTCTATTCACCAAAAATGATTGCAATCGACCCCAGCAACCGAAAATAATTTTTTTAGAATGATTTGAAATTTTGTAATTTAATTTTTTAATAACTTTTTAACGAAGCCTCAGTCAAGAAATTTATATTCTTGATTTTCGTCTTATTTTGGCCTCTAGAATCTCCCATTAAAATTTTTCCTAGGGGTGGCCAAACACCCTGTATGAGTAAGTGATATATTCCAATTAAGAAATGCTATTCGAGTGTATGTAAACTTTTTTACTTCAGTATATATTGTGAATATTCATCATAGTTTGTACTATACAATGTATCAATTTCTTCTCGAAATTTTATAATCGATGTTTCAACTAAGAATGATTGTATTTTAACTTATTATCGTCCTTGTAGCTTAGAAGAACACTTTCTTACAGCCTACTATGCAACAAAACTAGCATTAAAAAGGGAGTCCAAGTTTTCACCTCAATGAATTGTTCAATAAGAAAGAGTATGGGTTAGAATTGATCCACCTACACCGGTAGACTGTTAATAGTTCTCGGAATCGTCTAATTGTAAAACATTCAGACAACTGTGTTAAGATGAAAATTATTTAACATATGTATAGCCAAACATTATAAAACTAAGTCATGAGATACAATTAAGAAATTATATTTCAAGGCAAAGGTAATCAAAACTGTTTCCCCTAAAGTCAATATTTACCAAAATAATTATGGTGTACGTTTGTTTCATTTATTTACAATGCCTTATTTCAAGATTTGATATTTTTATTATAATTTTATGAAGAAACGTCGAAAGAATATTAACCTTAGCAAAACCTTAAGTTTCAGTTACTTCGAATTCATTTGCCACTTCTTGCATTTATTTAGGAGAATGTAAATAAAATTTAATATTTCACAAGCATAAAAGCAACAAATTAATTACCTGTATTTCCATTTCGTCAACCACACAATTAAAGCAGACACTATGACGATAACAGATCCTAATGCGTCTGAGAGTACATGAAGAAACACACCACGCATATTCATTTGACTTGCGTCATGAGAATGGCCGTGGTGTGTCCTTTTCACTTGCGGCGTCGATGGCCTATAAGCTTCATCGTTTTCATTGTCATCTGTCCCAACTAAAGAGCTAAGCCTGTTATGGCTTAGAGAAATACCGTGTGAATGTGCATGGGTGTTTCCATGTTCTGCAATCAAAATTTCAATATCATTTACGTACATATTTAACAAGAAATATACAAATTAAACAATTATTTTCTTATATTTCTTTCCTTTCCGTTTTTTTCTTATACGGGGTAATTTTATTATTATAACAGGGACCGGTCATAGAATAACATGTATATTTTGCAATTCAGCATCGTAATGACTGTAGGTCAAGTTGTAACACTATAACTTTCTTGACTATGAATACTCTTGAGTGAATAAAATCATGCTACGAGGGTGGTCCCAGAAGTACCCGACCTAACAAAAAAAACACAAAAAATTTGGGAACAAATATCTTTATTTTTCAACATAATCTCCTTTTAGCTGGGTACGCTTTTCCCAGCGGTATTCAATAGGTTCGATACCTTGTTTATAGTAAGAACCATCGAGTTCCTCAAAATAGCTATTATCCGCAGACTCCACCTCTTCATTATTGGAAAATCTTTTACCACCGAGCCATTTTTTTAAGTTTGGAAATAGAAAATAATCCGAGTGGGCTATATCTGGCGAATAGGGTGCGTGAGGGAGCAATTCGAACTTTAACTCCTGGATTTTGGCCATCGCGATAACGGATATGTCAACTGGTGCATTGTCTTCGTAAAACAACACTTTCTTTTTCGCCAAATGCGGCCGTTTTTCTTTGATTTTGTCACTTAAACGCTGTAATAAATTCGCATAATACTCGTCGTTGATTGTTTTTCCTTTTTCAAGATAATCAATGAAAATTATTCCACGCGCATCCCAAAAAACTGACGCCACGACCTTGCCAGCAGATGGAACTGTCTTCCTTCTTTGGAGCTGGTTCTCCCCTTACAGTTCATTGTTTCGACTGTTGCTTCGACTCAGGTGTGAAGTGAAGGAGTTTGCTCTTCCCGCTAATAGGAGGTGGCGTCACCACGGAGGATAATTGTTTACAGATAGCGATACATAGATCTCACTTCCGTATAGATCCTTGAGCGAAACAGACGTGTGTGCGGTTACAGTTATAGTGCGACCCGTGTTATTGCGTTCTACGTTAAATTTATATCGCTTTGTATGATTCGATTTATTTCTTTCCTTTTCTGATAATATATACAGGGTGGGGCATTTTAAACAGGTCACCTGAATAACTCGCTTGTTTTTGAAGATAGGAGAAAATGCATTAGACTAAACTTACTTGGTATCGGGAGGCTCATAATCTGGTATTACCAATTTTTCTGTAGGTCGAGACGTCAAGGAGATATGAAGGTCAACTCTGTTTTTTTAAATGGGATAGTATGTTTTTTTACTTACATTCTGATAGAGTGTTTCAAGGCGAATACAATGACCTATTTTGAAGGTCATTCAAGGTCACCTAAAGTCAACTGCAATAGAAAATAAATTGTCTCAAAGTACTCTTCGAACACTGGGATACTTTGATACTGCTACTGCAAGTGTTCAAAATGGCGACCTTGAACATGGATACATTGTCTAAATCGTTGCAATACTGATGACACTGCCTGGCAAATTTCATTTGTATCTATTACAGAGCAAGCTCTTCTTATACGTTCTTGCATGTCAAGTTTGGTAGTTGGTTTTTCGCGGTACGCTTCTGCCTTTAATTTTCTCCACAAATAAAAATCGAGAGGTGTCAGGTCTGGGGATCGTGCTGGCCATTTGTTACTTCCTGCTCGACCTATCCAACAATCTCCAAATTTTCTATTTAGAAATTCTGTAACATTGCGTGCTGAATGAGCAGGACATCCGTCTTACTGGAACCACATTGATTGTCGTATGTCCATTGAAGTGTCTTCTAACAATTCTGGCAAAACGTCTTCTAAGATTCTCAGGTACTTACTACTATTTAGCGTGCCATCAATAAAATATGGACCAATTATTTTATTATGAAGAAGGCCGCACCAGACGTTTACAGACCAAGGTCTCTGTTTGTCGACTTCTTTCAACCATCGTGGATTATCTACTGACCAGTAGTGCATGTTGTGACGGTTAATTGCTCCATGGTTTGTAAATGTGGCCTCATCGGTAAATAACAGTTTACTCAAGAACATTTCATCGTCTTGTAGTTTTCATAAGCCCCATTCACAAAATTGTAAACGTTTTGTATAACCATTTTCAATTAATTGTTGATGAAGTGTTATGTGGAACGGATGAAATTTGTTAATATGTAATATTCGTAAAATACTTCGTCGACTGATCCCACTTTCGCGTTCCAGTTGTCTTGCACTAACATGTGGATCTCGTATTACAGCTGCTACAATATTTATCGAGTTTCCATCATCAGTTGCTCGTTTGGCAAGATTACGTGTTTTGTTATCCACAGTTCCAGTTTCTTGGAACTTTTTTATAATGTTTGTAAAGACAGAAACTGAAGGTCTATTATTACGATCGGGAAATCTGTCTCATAATTCTATGACATTCACCATAAATAAGAACCATTTCTACTTTCTCTGCTATCGTGTAACGCATTTTAGAAAACTGAACACTTAGACTGAATAAATATTACGAAGCTGTACTCTAGCCGGTAGTCAAATTACCAATAACGTTTGAGAATACAGATAAGCGTACAATGTGATTGAATGTTTGTTTATCTTTTGTGACCCGTATCACGTAATACACACACGTGACACACAAGTATTCGAAAAGTACTCTGAGACAATTTATTTTCTATTGCAGTTGACTTTGGGTGACCTTGAATGCCCTTCAAAATAGGTCATTGTATTCGCCTTGAAACACTCTATCAGAATGTAAATAAAAAAACATACTATTCCATTTAAAAAAACAGAGTTTTGACCTTTATATCTCCTTGACGCCTCGACCTACAGAAAAATTGGTAATACCAGATTATGAGCCCCCCGATACCAAGTAAGTTTGGTCTAATGCATTTTCTCCTATCTTCAAAAACAAGCGAGTTATTCAGGTGACCTGTTTAAAATGCCCCACCCTGTATGTATACGTTTACCTCAAAGGACCTTCACGCAAATATTAAATACCACCCAACTTAAAGTGATGGATCCAGGTTTCATCCATGGTTATCAAGCGACGCAAAAACTTGGCTTTACTCCTGTGAAACATCGCCAAACACTCGATTGAAACATCCTCACGACGCTGTTTTTGTTCCATTGTGAGCAAGCGCGGCACCCATCTTGCACACAGCTTTCTCATATCCAAATTTTCAGTCAATATGCATTGTACAGAACTTTTTGAAATGTCTACCATGTCTGCAAGCTCGCGCACTTTCAGTCGACGATCGTCCAATATCGTTTTGTGGATTTTCTTCACCATTTCTGGTGTGGTCACTTCATTTGGTCGACCACTGCGGTGTTCGTCTTGACAGCTCGTACGGCCTCGTTTAAATTCTGCCACTCAATATTTTATTGTTGTAAATGAAGGAGCATACTCCCCTAGAATAGTATCTAGCTCAATTTTGATATTGGTTGAACTGAAACCTTTCAATATTGTATCACATAATGATGACCAATTTTTTTCATGTTTACAAATTCACTGAGAGCGTTCACTATTAATGGCTGTCAAACAAATACTAAACAATGTAGCGTCTTCAAACTTGAAATTTAAGCTTTTGTAAGGTTGGTACTTCTGACCATAGTCATTTTTATTAAACAATAACCGCTACCTATACCTCAGGCCGGGTACTTCTGGGACCACCCTCGTAGCTACAAGATAATTGGAAAATTCAACATGTGTTATTTTCTGTAAAAAAAATCTTATTCATTTTACAGTAAATGTTCAACAGGGTACCTATTGACTTCAACTCATTTCCAGACACGCAGTAATAAATATTTTGTTGTCCTTTCGATAATTACCGAAAGACTTGTATCGGAAGCAGAAAATTTTTTTTTACATATTATTTAATGCTATGAGCATCAACAGACAGATAGGTTAATGGTTAGTTTCCATTAACGAAGTTTGCTCTCAAAAGGAAGGGCTTGTTCGCGTGTCTGTACAAAAGAATCATTGGTTCTTAAGAGCAAAATTCTTCAGTTTTACTTTCGCACATACAGTGGGTGTAAAAAGTATTCGTGCAGCAGCCAATTTCAATAAAAACTTTATAGAACTGTGTTTATTACAAAAAATGTATACGTATTATTAGAAATATCTAGAATAAATTTCAATAAAAATGCATTGTTTATTTATATTGTTGCGACGGACTGAAGATGCATCGTTGTGGCAACGTGAAGACTGTTCCGCAACGATGTGAAGCTGCTCCTTCGAACGAGCGAAAGCGAGAGCCCGTTCCTTCCGGTTGCCAGAGGAACCGGCAACGATTCAAAAGATCAGAACTACGTATGTACCTCATAGAGAACTGATGTACCAAATTGTGCTCTGTTTAAATAAAGCTTGTTCTTGTTTGTTAGTTCGTATTCCTAGTTTTACGTTAATTTGTTCCGCGATAAAATGAGTTGTGCGAGAAACACCCCGTCCCGGCGCAACAATATTTTCTATGAAAATATTAACAAAAGTCTGGAATGTAGTCAAAAATATATGCGTAATAAGTATTCGTACAGTTCCTGTTTCATAACATTGTATGTGTAATAATTACAAGGTAATCCATGAAATGTCAACATAATTAACATTAATATATCTGGAGACTTTGTCAATATAGGTAGTGTTTTCAATTCAAACATAAGTAATTGTAATAGTACTAAAATGAGACGAAAAGGTAAAGAAACGACTGAAAGTGAAAGAAAAATTATTATAAATCTTCATAACAGCTGCAAAACGATACCAGAGATTTCAGGAATTGTGAATAAACCAAGATCCACAATTCAAGGAATTATTGACACTGTTTTTCAGTTTTTCTAAAACTTTCGACATAACGTTACTTTGATACTCGAGGCAAGATCGGGCTATAATCCCCATCAAGCAACGTACCTACCTTAGCTGTTTTATTAGTGAGTGTTCATTAGACTAATCGAGAAGTAGCTCCCGCGAACGCGCCGCGTAAAAGCCGACATACACTCTCCGCGGAAAATATGTTGACACGTTTCAAAATCTTTTATTTTGAACTTTCCCCGGTTGTAAACAAAACACGTAAGGTTTCTATTCCTCATAATGCTTTGCCAGTGTTTCGTGAGATGGTACAAACAGTTGATATTCGACCTTAACTTGGAATACAAGTATTTATTATTAAAACGTTCTTTAGTGCTGTGCGGAAAGTAAGTTGACAGATATTTTCGGTTGTATTTTACTCTAATTTGTTCAAAGTTTAGTTCTTAAATTACATTTCTCGTATCCTTCAACATTAATTGTAGTGTTTTATAGTTACATTTTATCATTTTCAAGGTAATATTATTTCAAAATGCCAAAAATTCGTGAACTCACAACATCTGAGAAATCACAAATATTTAATAGGCGTATGAAAGGAGATTCGCTTCGAAAAATCGCATCAGACTTTTGTATCTCTGCAGAAGGTGTCAGACAAATAGTAAATCGTCTGGAAAAGAATGGTACTGCAGAAAATCTTCCAAAATCGGGACGTCCGAGGAAGACCACGATCAAACGGGATCGCACAATAAGAAGAGAGGTGCTTAAGAATCGTTTCATATCCGCGAGACAATTAAAATCTGAAATGTATCTCCCTATATAAGAGACACAAGTTCGTATGGGAATAAAAGAAGCAGAATTTCATGGCCGCGTAGCGAGGAAACGACCGTTTATTAGTAAGCGTAATGCTCAAAAACGTTTAGCATTTGCTAAACAATATGTGAATAAAACGATAGACTTTTGGAAAAATGTCATATTCAGTGACGAGTCAAAATTTGAACTTCGTTCGAATAATAGAAGAAAATTTGTATGGAGAAAAGTAGGTGAAAGTTTTAAACCCTCAATAAGTATTCCAACCGTTAAGCATGGAGGTGAGTCGGTGTTAGTATGGGGCAGTTTTTCACTGTCTGGTGTAGGCAATTTACATTTTATAGAAGGTACACTAATAGGAGAGGGATATGTGAACATTTTGCAGTAAAATTTAGTACAATCAGCTGAAAACATGAACATCAAAGACTCATTTATTCTACAACAGGATAACGATCCTAAACATACAAGTAAAGTTGCAAAGAAATATTTTAATGAAAATAATATTAATTTACTGTCATGGCCAGCGCAAAGTGCAGATCTTAACCCGATCGAACATTTATGGGACCATTTAGACAGAAACGTAGACGAACACTGCAGAAATAATAAAATCTTGTTCCAGAGGGCATTATCAAAAGCGTGGTTTGAAATAGACCAACATACAATTGATAAATTAATAAAAAGTATGCCAAGAAGACTTCAGGAAGTCATAAACAATCGAGGATATCGAACTTCATATTAAGTCCATACTTTCAGTTATTTCAAATTTTATTTTTTTACAAAATTACTTATTGTCAACATACTTTCCGCGGATGGCTAATACAAATGTCATATTGTTTTGTAGCTAATAAAAATCATATCTGATTTATCATACAATGTATATTTTGTTACATACTATTAATCAATATTTGTTAATTGTTTACTTCCCGCAACTTGAGTTTTTTATTTAGCAGCGAAAAAATACTCTTTTGAAACTTGTCAACATACTTTCCGCGGCGAGTGTAGAATTTTCGCCGTCAAGGCAACCTAGCAATAGTACTAGTTCTGTTAATTGACCATTGTAGTTGAGCATCGATCAGAATATATTCAAGTAGTATTCTTTACTTGTATTATTCATTTAATACAACCCTGAACCCTATTAACAGTAAGACTAAGGGTATCTCACAAACACGGTACACTTTTACCGCTCGAGGTGTACCATTACGACAGAGCAAGATCCTAAAACATCCTAAAAACCTACGTAGCTCCCAGGGTATAAAGTCCCTGGTTCGTCCACTCCTTCTAGCGGCTCCCAGGGTATAGAGCCTCTGGTTCGTCCGGAACTCCTTTCTTTTCCATAACCATACCTAAAACCACCGGCCGAGTACCGTCCTCGACCGAATCCAGGATCTCGCGCTCGCGCTCGTAATAACAGATATGAAGATAGACAAATTTTAAAGAATAAAGCAAGAAGTGGATATACACGGAAAATAAATGAATACACCGACCGATGGATAATTCGTAAAACAAAACAAAATCCAATAGTGCAGTAAAAAGAGCAGCCGTAACATAAACCTGTGCAATGGGTGCAGTACATAATTTCTTACGAGGTAGAGGATACCACGGCAAAGTAATATTTACTAATGAGAGTAGCATATTTGGACCAAATGGATAAAAAATACTGAGTATGAGAAAGAAAATTTGTAGGCAACTGTAATACACAGACGAGGATCGGCCATAGTTTGGGGCTGTATAAGTGTGAATGGTGTTGAATCACTACATTTTATCGATGGTATTATGATACCACCCGCATTCGTCAGTACAAACAACCGCGTCAGCACTCCTCGCCAAAAACATTTGAATCACCATCCATATCTTCACCACGCAGCAATAACATCTGAGTCACCATCCACATCACCACCTAGTAGCAACAACAGCTGAGTCAGACATCAGGCCCAAAACCAAGCACCCCTACTCTACGGCCATACCTTTATAAACCCTTCGCCAAAATAAAGCACAGACCAGTATTTCACAAGTCGAGACTCGCGTAACGTTACTCTGTCCGTCCCTTATCATCAGCTACGGCATAAGTCGCGACAGAAGGCAACAGTGTACGCACGTTACCTTAAAGTTTCGCGAGTTCGTGTTTTTTTTCAAGTGACGCGTAAAGTCCCGTCACATTTTGGCGATCCTGCCAGGATCCATTCGTGCACAACTGAGGATAAACAAGACTACGAGAAGCCTACGGACATCTCCACAGCTTGGGACTACGAGAGCCATTCTATCAGTTTGCACCAGGATTCGAGCTAAAGGTAAAGTTGAGTACGAAAAATGAGTACACCAATTAAAGATCAGGGAGATATGAGGAGTATTCTTTCCCATCTTGAAATGACGACGACGCAAATGAAAAGGCAAGAGGAAACAATGAAAAAACAAGACGAAGCGTTACGGAAACTCTTGCAAACCGTTAAAGTGCTAGACGAAGAAAGAGTGGAGCAAGCAGGCGAATTGAAGAAGCTAGGCGTCCAATTAGGATTCGTAGTCAGCACGGAAGATGGACGTTCCATCGAGACATCGAGAAGACCAGCCACCGAAATGGAACTCACCGACGACGAAGGTGATCTCCGCACAGCAAGGGCGGAACCTCGCTCACACACATCAACAGCACCCGCAACAACCGTGAGTAACCTTAAAACTGCAGACGCGTTGCGCATGGTAGAAACCTTATACGGGAAAGATGACATCGGAGTCGAAGAATTTATCAAATCGGTACGGTTCGCAAGAAATAGAGTCAACGATCCGGAAAGCCTACTCCGCATGATAATAACCGAGAAAATAGTTAGTCACGCCAAGAGGAGTATCAGATTTTGCCGTATCCAGACCTATGATGAATTGTACGAGGCACTGAGAACCCAAGTGTCATTACCAGTCACGGTTAGCGGAAGCAGAAACAAGATGCAGACTATAAAACAAGGGATCACGGAAAATGTACAATCCTATACCGCTCGTTTTAAACAAGCAATGAGTGAACTGGAATACGCGATTCAAGCAAAACACCGTAACCCTATCGCAAGAAATATAGCATTGGAGGAAGAAAATTTAGAAGCAGTAAAATTCTACATTTATAACTTAAAAAAAGAAATAGCCCAGTATGTCGTACCCATGAGACCCAAGACGCTAATCGAGGCACAACACGAAGCGATGAACATCGAAGTGTGGTGTAAAGATACCAGGCCAACATCACAACCTCAACGACCCTACATGCCGCCAAGAACAATGACTAATAACCAGCCAAGACCTTTGATACGACCGCCGAGTTTCATACCTAAACCAGCCAACAATCCTCAACAACAGATACCACGACCGGTATCATGCGAACATTGTGGAAAACAGGGACATTTCAAACAAAATTGTTTTCGTCTGAAGCAGCAAAATTTTCCGACCGCTCAATTCGGGAAACTACCGCCACCGAAGAGTAAACCACATGAAGGAGACGGAGGACCAAGAAGACTGCGAGTTCACTACACCCCAGGAGAACTACAACACCTACGATGTAGTTTTGCAGGAATGCTACGACCAGGAAGATTCTTACTGGACACCGGAGCAGGAGTCAACCTCCTCAAACGAAGATTTGTAAATAATATAATACCGTTGAAACACGCCAAGACGATACAACTAGGAAACGACTTGCATCAAATAACACATTTCTATACATTTAGGATCTTAGGCCAAACACATAACTTTTTAATCGTTCCAGATAACTTCCCTTTAATAGAAGATGGTATAGTTGGACTTCCATTTCTCAAAAAGTATCAGTATACCATTAAAAATGATACAGTACAACTTGATAACACAACCTTACGCCTACAGAGCACGCCCAAGGAAATAGAAATCCCACCTGAAACCTGTACTGCGAGATATTGTAAGATCGGCGATGATGTTACGAGGGTTTGCTTCATTAATACTGGTAAGTTCAGCACGATTACATCAAATTCAATTGAACCTAAAGAGGAAAATATAAACAGAATCCATGAATTGCTAACGAAATTGCGTCTAGATCATATAGAAACCTCCTTTCGAGACCCTATAACTAAAATAGTTTGTTCATATAACGATATTTTTGCATTAGAAACCGATCCACTCCCTTGTACCACACTAACACAACACTCTATAAAACTAAAGACAGATAGACCCATAAATATCAAATCATATCGTCCACCAGAAGTCCATAAACAAGAAATCCACAAACAAGTTAAGGAAATGTTAGATAAAGGAATTATCGAAGAATCAGATTCACCATTTAACGCACCGGTATGGGTAGTACCTAAAAAATCAGACGCCTCTGGTAAACAAAAATGGAGAATAGTGATAGATTTCAGGAGATTAAACGAACAAACCGACCACGACGCTTATCCATTACCGAATTCTGACGAAATATTGCAACACTTAGGAAACGCTAAATTTTTCTCAGCCCTTGATTTATCCTCTGGATTTCACCAGATTCCTATGGCTGAACAAAGTAAAAAATACACAGCATTTTCGACACCTGACGGACACTTTCACTATAATCGTATGCCTTTCGGACTCAAAAATGCACCCGCGACATTCCAACGACTGATGGACACCGCTTTACGAGGACTTATAGACAAATATTGCTTTGTTTACTTAGACGACATTATAATATTCGGAAGTACTATAGAAGAACACAACAGAAACTTAGCCATAATATTCCAGAGATTGAGAGAGACCGGACTAAAACTACAAGTAGACAAATGTCAATTTTTGAAACCTGAACTAGAGTATTTAGGCCATATAGTTACGGCAGAAGGAGTTAAACCTAACCCCAAGAAATTAGAGGCTATCAAACACTTCAAAATTCCGAGCAACATCACACAAATAAAATCTTTCCTCGGGTTAACCGGATACTACAGGAAATTCATTAGAAACTTTGCCAAAAATTGCCAAACCATTATCTGACCTTACGCAGAAGACGAATCCTTTCCATTGGACAGAGAAACAGACTAACGCTTTTGAGACACTAAAACAGAAATTATGTGAGGCACCCATCCTATGTTATCCAAATTTTGACGAACCATTCACACTAACGACGGACGCCAGTAATGAAGGTATCGGAGCCGTTTTATCCCAAAAGGACCATCCATGTTGCTACATTTCTAGAACATTAAATAGTGCAGAAAAAAATTACACTACCTCTGAGAAGGAATTACTCGCTATCGTTTGGGCCATCAAACGACTGCGACAATACCTCCTCGGACGAAAATTTCATATCTTTACCGATCATCAGTCTTTGAAATGGCTTCACAATGTAAAAGACCCATCTTCCAGGCTCATGCGTTGGCGCTTGAGGCTCGAAGAGTACGAATACGAGATTCATTATAAACAGGGAAAAGAAAACGTAGTTGCAGATGCTCTGTCCAGATTACATCCTCTGAAAGTAACAGAAATACAAACCGTTTACCCAAAAGATTAAAATTGTCAAACTTCCATCCCCGTTAGAAATTGAAGACGAGTCACCCGACATTCAAGAATTATCTTCTCCTCAGAATGACTTATACAATGAATATATAGACTGGAAAAAGGAACCGACAGCCGCCCCCATAAAAACAGTGGCTAATAGACCACAATGGACTCAATTAACGAAAGACTTGTTAGGACCTCACGACGAAGCCACATGGCTAAACAGACTACACGACTTAATGGCATTACAACATAACAAACCCTCTATATCCTTCGGTATCGGAACGAATTTAAAACCTTTGCATATTATCGACATCCAGTTAATGCTCAGATTCCTTATGAAAGATTATCCCGACAAGAAACTTCATTTTGCGCAGACCCCTATACGAGACTACACGGAAGACGAAAAGAAACAGATACTTATTGAGAACCACGACAATGTACAACATTTAGGAGAAAATAAAACCATCGATAGAATAAAGGCAAAGTACTATTGGACGAACATTGACAACGACGTAACGAAATACATAAAACACTGTGATATTTGCCAAAAGAATAAACTCACTAGGATTAGATCGAAAGAGGAAGCTGTTATACCTGACACCCCGCAAAACCCGAACGATAAGATTGCTTTAGACATTATAGGCCCATTTAACGTTACTGCAAAAGGAAACCAGTTCATACTCTCAATTCAAGATTGCCTAACGAAATATTTAATACTAGTTCCCTTAGCCAACCAAAAAGCCGAATCTATTATTGACCAATTGATGGAACACTACATTTATACCTTTTCCTCGCCTAAACATATCCTGACTGATCAGGGACAGAATTTCGTATGCAAATTAATGGAATCGTTTGAAAAGGCCTTCAGAATTAAACACATCAAAACTACCAGTTTCCACCCCCAGAGTAACGGAGCTCTAGAAAGAACTCACGGAACTGTAAAAGACTTGCTAAGAACTTGTATTAATGAAAGAAAAACCGAATGGGATGAACATCTAAAATTAATATGCATGGCTTACAATACCTCAGTACATTCTGGTACTGGATATACCCCTTTCGAACTAACTTTCGGACATGAAGCAAATATGCCTTCGGCTATATCCACCACCCCTCATCTGAGTAAAGATGAACTGTTTAAACTTTGGAAACAGAGACATAAAGAATATTTAGAAAACGCAAAGAAAATAATAGAATCAAACAAGAAACGGTATAAACGTGAACAAGACCGTAAAATTCGTTTAAAAACTATATACAATCAAGGGGATTTAGTACTTTTACATAACGATCACAAGAGTCACAAACTAGACAGAGAATGGTCAGGCCCATATGAAATAATAGAAATAAGGACGCCAAATTACCTCCTTAGAATAAACAAAAATAAGACCTTACTAACCCACGGCAATCGTATAAAACTGTATCATCGTTAGGACTTATAATTTCTTATGCATTTTATAAAACAGGATTATTCACTTTATTGTCAAAACTTATACCAAAAACATTTTGTCTTAAAATTTGTTGTAACGAAGTCAATGTAAATGACCGTGGAGGCGCACAAAACACGCATTCAACCCCAATAGCTACAACACCATCAACATCTACGAACGAAAACCCACTGATGTATCCTCTGGATGAGCTACCACGAATTCCATCACGACCAAAGAAAATCGTACGTTTTGGAGGACCAAAACGAATCTAGGAAAGGGGGTGTGATACCACCCGCATTCGTCAGTACAAACAACCGCGTCAGCACTCCTCGCCAAAAACATTTGAATCACCATCCATATCTTCACCACGCAGCAATAACATCTGAGTCACCATCCACATCACCACCTAGTAGCAACAACAGCTGAGTCAGACATCAGGCCCAAAACCAAGCACCCCTACTCTACGGCCATACCTTTATAAACCCTTCGCCAAAATAAAGCACAGACCAGTATTTCGCAAGTCGAGACTCGCGTAACGTTACTCTGTCCGTCCCTTATCATCAGCTACGGCATAAGTCACGACAGAAGGTAACAGTGTACGCACGTTACCTTAAAGTTTCGCGAGTTCGTGTTTTTTTCAAGTGACGCGTAAAGTCCCGTCACAGTATCATGGACCATACAGTTATACATTGATATTTTAAAGGAATATTTTAAGTTAGAGCAAATAAACTGCAACTACAGGACGATTATATATTTTACAAGATAATGATTCTAAGCATAATGTTTATAATACAAGTCATTGGATACTGTATAATGTACCACATCAGTTACAAATTCTCCTACAATCTCCAGACATAATTGTCATAGAGCACTGTTACTTAATCCGTTTTGTAAATTCATGAGACTGCAAAACATGTTTATCCCTTCTCTACCGACGTCTAATAGTCTCATGACAAACACTATTCTATGATTAATTTCATAAGCACTACTTATTAATGGACTTGAATTTATTTGGCGTCTTCCACATCTGCAAGAAATTACAAGTTTGAAATCAAGTCTACAAATATGAGATTGCAAAAAATGTATGTTTTGCACTGCACAAGTAACTCCGACAGAGCACTAAAAACCGTAAAGAATTCTATAATTTTATAACTATACCCTCATATACATACATATCTCACTGACTTTGAATTTTATTAATACAATACTTAATTTCTTTTATTAAAAAATATTAGTGTCCCTATACAAATTTAGTCCACTGTATCACTAATTTCCCTTAAACTTTTTCCCTTTTTATAACTACTAATAATTACGTTTCGTAATTCAATTGAGGTTTCCGTACATTTTTTTCCTATTTTGTGTGCTAAGTGACAGAATGTTTACTTTTAAACAAAAGAATAACTACCGATTGTCTTTTGTTCTTAGTAGAATATAAGGGAAATTCTTGATATAATGAAGAAAATCCCTAGAATATATTTTATGATCTATATGTATATTAACTGTACGAATATGACTTTAAGATACTTTTTATGGCTAGTTACATCCTTATTGTGTTTTCTGTATTTTTAATAAATGAAAAATAAAATACTTTGTAGATAGAAATAATCTACTGTAATTACGAATGTTTGATAAGAATAAATGAAAAGTTGTGCCGATGTATGGTGGTTATGTGATGCAAGCATGTGCGTTGGGTGGTCGTTGGCTACAGAAATAAAAATTTTTTTTAGTTGTGTTTTACCCACCCTCATAGATTGTAACACTTGATAAAGAAATAATTTATGCTAAATTTTAGCGTGATTGGACAACTAGAACACGTGCCGCATTTGAATTGAAGTTTTTAAATTCTAACGGTTTCACATTAGAGTTGAATGTACTTGTATCGACTTATTCGAAATTTATTAATCGACATTTTTTGGTGAAATTACAATTCCTTTAGTGTAAAATAATAACAGTACGTGTGATCTCTTATACTATCATTCAATTTATTATTAAATATCGCATATAACATAGGGAGTGAGTCATAATTCATGGCTTTTCCTTATATGGAAATTAAAACCGAATGTAGGTGTGCTACGTTTTGCCATACGATTATTTTCAATTGAAAGGACAAGGAGACACATACGATCATGTGTCAAAAAATTACGTTTCTTTGCATCGTGCTAGGAAAAGGTTCTTTCCCTTTTTTCATGAAAATTAATAAAAGCCGCTTGATTGTTGGGTTAGTAGAAGAGGAGATTCCAGAAATCATTTTTCAAATACACAGTCATAGTCTTCTGTTCTTTTTGTACGTCAAGTTTTATACAATGCTAATAGTTTTTGACCTTTGATCACGATCGCGGCACTTGTCTTGAGATCCAATTTTATTTTCCGTACGTTGTAAAATAACACACACAATATTTGTCTATTACTAGGAAGTTTTACTCCAATAATTTGACTTTCGTCGTGCCCCAACTAATACACTTCATCAGAACTTCTTCATAAAATATATTTGTTAGGGCATGACGAAAGTTAAATTATTGGAACGAAGCTTCCTAGTAATAGAAAAGTATTGTGTGTGTTATTTTACAACGTAAGGAAAATAAAATTGGATCTCAAGACAGTGCCGCGATCGTGATCAAAGGTCAAAAACTATTAACATTGCATAAGACTTGGCGTACACTGCAACGGCCTCACAAACACCAAAATGAATTGTAAAAAGTAAGAAAGAAAAGGAATTTCGTGATTCTTATATTTGATCAGAAATTCTCGATGGAGAAGGTCTTCATTTTTGTACACATTCACTTTCTCTATGAATAATATTTTGCGAATTGTACACGAGGAACTCTTAACTTCTTGTTTCTATGACCTTATTGTTGAAAATAATATATAATTATTATTAATATTGTAAGGAGTGTATGTGTGTGGTTCGGAGAACCGTTATCGTTGGCGTCGATAGGAGTGTTTAGTCTAAGCTAGAGTAAAATTAAATTCATTTTTACATTTTTAAGATAAAGTGTATTTTAAAATTAATAACAGTTTCATTCGTAAGTAACTCGGAAGAA